ATCTTGAATTCCAAGATGTTGGATGTTGATTTTCTGCTTCTACTCATCAAGTTCCTTCCGTAGATACCCATATTACATGGAATTAGATGCATATCGCTTTCCGGAGGCCACCATATTGGATTTTGGTCCGCCACCTTGAATTTCAAAATGGCGGCGGATGTTGATTTTCTACTTCTACTCATCGAGCCCATTTCGTAGATACCGATATTGCATGGGTTTAAATACATATTCGCTGTCCGGAGGCTGCCATATTGGGTTTTTCCGCCTTCTTGATTTCTAAAATGGCGGCGGATGTAGTCCTTCTTCTCTCTCTTCTCCTCCGCGTTTCAAGCTTATTGCATATCGCATATTAGCTTATTGCGTGCTCTCAACTTAGTGTTCTAGATGCACTTCCACAGTTATTAATTGAGAGCTTTCGATGCCTGTACCATTTTTGCATTGGTATAATTGTGTGGTAAGTCCAATCATACTTCTATGCCAAGGGAAGTCGAGAAATTTTTCAACCCGAAAAATTCCTAGACCGGACCGGGAATTGAACCCAGCCACCTCCAGCATGGTCTTGCTTTGTAGCTGCGCCTTAACCCGACTGAGCTAAGGGAGGCGGATGTAGTCCATTGGATTTAAATCAGGAGAGTTTGAAGGCCATTCATCTTTTGTCAAATATCTAGGAAAAAGTTTGCTACAAAGCTCCAGCGTTTTATTCGCTCCATGCGATGGTGCCCAATCGTTTTTACCAAAATGCGAGGGGTGCGACACATCTAAATTGACAATTGGATTCTGCAAAGAATCGAACCCCTTTTTTAGATCAGTGTACATTCATTAGATTCATTTATCTAGCATACGCTGCATCTACTTTCTCAACGCTGCCAACGCTGCTGAAGATGAAAGTAGATGCGAGCAAGGATATGGAAAGATGTCCAAATAAAGCGAGAAAGAAAGGAAGCAGGCGAGACAGTGAAGTTGAGTTTGACTGCAAATGAGGTGCAAACGTTTGTTTTAGATTCGATTTTCGAGGATTATTAGAAAAAAAAATAACGTATTAAAATAAGTAATCGACTTCGATTTTTGTTGTGCAGTTACCTAGGAGCGGCCTTTCGTGACTTCTGCCGAGTAAAGGGTATACAGCTTGCACACTACGAAAAAGACATGTAAATTTCAGTGCCCTGAGACCGACACATGCAAGCGACCCTTTTGACATAAGAATCAGTTGAAAAGGACGAGAAAATTAATTCTATCAAACGCACTTTTCGTCGAGTTGCAATGTTTCAGTTTCAGGACACTTAATTTTACATGCCATGTTTGTTTACGTTCCATAATTTACGTCAAAGCTAAATTACGTCTCGTGTAAAAATAATGATTTCTAAGTGTGTGAGTACACCGTTACGTACAAACCGCAACAGGATGGTGTCAGTGAGCGGCTCAACCGCACAGTGATGGACAAGGCAAGGGCTATGATCAACAATCAATACGAAACTAACGATTTTAAATTGGCTCACTACTTGACTAGCCTATTGGTTCCAAGCAAATCGATTAACGTATCCCATTTTAGCCGAAATTCTAGTACTACACAGACCTAGAGATGAACTAGCCTAAGGCTAAAAATCTCTTTAATAAAGAATTTAAAAAAAATAGTACTACACAATGTTTGTTTTGATTCGCTATGAAAGTTTGACAGATAAAATGAGGGGTTAGTGGATTTTCCTATGTTTCGAGGGGTGAATCGATTAGCTTGGGACCGAAGATAGTACAACAGCTGAGCCAAAAAGTTGAGCATGTTTCTTCGGGACCTACTAGTCTTAGAGTTACCTCTATGCTATGATCGAAGGTGCTGGATTGTCGAAGGCGCTGTGGTCTGAAGCGGTTCTGGCGGTAGTCTACGTGATTAACCGGAGTCCAACGGCGGTGTTAACGACTAACAAGACACCGTACGAAATGTGGTACGGCCGCAAGCCTGACGTCTCGAAGTTTCGTATATTCGGTGCAAGAGCTTTCAGTTTCGTACCGAAGCAGAAGCGGAACAAGTTGGAGTTCAGAAGTAAAAGCTGTCATTTCGTCGGATACGGTGTAAACGGCTATCAGTTGTGGGATGGTCGTAAGATTTTTATCGCTCGGGACGTTGTCGTGGAGGAGTTGCCGTTGAAGTCAAGTCAAGTAGGGGTGCAGATTCCTGTTTCGAAACCGCGTTGTACCAGTGTTATCCGGTTAGTCCGTCTGGTAGTTCCTCGATGAACCCTTCAGCTGGTTCTTCGGTCGGTCCTTCACCACCATTGTCGACTGCTGTAGAGAAGCCATCGGATCCTGTTCTTGCGGATCAGCTGGAAATGGCGGATTTATATGAAGAAGAATTCAATGACTTTCAGAAAGCAATGGAGCTGGAAGAGTACGAGCAAAATCCTCTAGCAATTCGTCGAAGTCAGCGTTTCCGGAATCCACCGGCCAGGATGAGTGAATATTCGTGCGTCGCTTTTGCGCTCAACGCAGAAAGTTATGTGAAGAACGTTCCTGAGAGCATCGGAGAGCTGAAATTGCAACCTGACTGGCCGGAATGGATGGAGGCAATAGACGACGAGTTGAGGTCGTTAGCTGAAAATGAGACGTGGCAACTGGTTGACCTGCCAGAAGGTCGTTGACTGTAAATGGGTGTTTCGACTGAAAACGAACCCTGACGGGGCAATCAACAAGATGAAAGCGAGATTGGTTGCCAAGGGTTTCACCCAACGTTATGGGTTTGATTACGATGAGACCTATTCCCCGGTTGTCAGGATGTCTACCGTTCGAATGATGCTCGCCTTAGCAAACCATCAAAACCTTGTTGTCCACCAAATGGACGTGAAAGCCGCGTTCCTCAACGGGCAGCTAACCAAGGACACATATATGCGCGAGCTTAAAGGATTTGAGGAGGGGAGTAAGGTGTGTAAACTCAGCAAATCAATTTACGGACTGAAACAGGCATCGAAGGCATGGAACGAGTTTGCGTCTAGAATTGGTTTTCGGCGTTGCTTTGAGGACAGTTGTTTATATGTGCGGGATAGCAAGTTTGGTTCGGTTTATCTCCTCCTCTACGTAGATGATGTGCTCATTATCTGCAAGGATTTGATCCAAGTGCAGATTGTGAAGAATATGCTACAGCGTGAATCTCGTATGGTGGATCTGGGCGAAGCGCAGATGTTCTTGGGGATCAGGATCGAACGGGATGCAAGCAAAGGCATCATGGAGCTTAGCCAACCATTCTATACTGAAGCAGTTCTCCGTCGCTTCGGAATGAAATCATGCAAGCCGGCGTCTACCCCTATGTGTGCTAACTTGCAGCTCCAGAGACCAAATGAAGACCAGAACCTCGAAAAGACGTATCGGGAATTGATAGGCTGCCTGACTTACCTTATGGTCACAAGAGCATTGGTCACACCTGAAAAGAATACTTCGGTATCTCAGAGGATCGACGCAGCATGGTTTGATCTACATCCGACAGGAGTCAGCTGAGCAGGTAGTTGGTTTCGCAGACGCAAACTGGGCGACAGATCCTGGTGATCGCCACTCTGTTTCTGGGCATATGTTCCAGATATACGTCTTGGAGCACGAAGAAGCAAAGAACGATTGCACTGTCCTCAACCGAATCGGAAAGCAGTGCTATTGTCGACTGTATATGCGAAGCATTGTGGATTCATAAACTGAGAAGAGAATCTCGGATTATGAAATCTCCTATCGAGGAAAATAACAAACACAGGTGCTGTCGTTCTGGTGTATAAAAACTGAGTGATGTTTATTATTTATGGAATATAACTTTGATACAAATATTCCTTGGTAAACCAAAGATTATAATAATAATGCTCAAACGGCATTTCTGACAGTGCTGTTTCTGCTGTTAGAGGGGCTCATTGATGAACAATTTGGATGGTTGCTCAAAGATTGTGATGATAATAATCAATCGGTGCACTGCCCTGTGCGGCATAACAGTCCCATTAGCATTTTTGGCGGAAATTAGCTATACATTGGAATCGATTGTCAAGTGCCTTAACTTCACAATGAACAGGAAAAGTTTCCTACTTTGGTCAGAAAATGTCGCGAAAAATACCAAAACTACGTTGTCCCGTATATAAGAGTCCATAAAGAAAAAAAAATCATTGGTGTGTTGTTACTTCGTACGTGGATGAGTTAGGTAAAGCAGTGCGCGTTTGATTAGCATTGTCGCATCAGTGACCATTTGCTCAATTTCAACTTCTGTGGAATCTGCCGTACTGTAGCCGAACTATCAATCTATACTCATCAGAAATTCTAATAAATTATGACATTAAAGCTTTATGTTGATATTAGTTTAGCATTCCTCTCAAATTGGATTAATCTAGTGTTTAACAAACATAACAAAAAAAAAAAAAAAAAAAAAAATACACAAATGGAAGCTTCTATAATAGACAAGTTTCCATCGTTATCATACACACTTACGCAACAATAAATCAAAATATTCATACGCAGCTGCTATATTGAATATAGTCGATTTATGTGTTTCTGCAAATGTCTAATATAAGAATTTAATTCCTTTGTTTTTTGTCTCTCTTTAGTAGTTCTTGGTTTGCCTTGTCCTCCTGGCTCGATGAGTCTCATCGTCGCCCATTGGTCACCATAGCCGGAAGAACTCCAGACGAATCTAGAACCGCACTACCGTTCAAACTGGCGACAACGCTCTCATGAGACAACGAAAACCCATCCCCAAGCTCTTACCCTAATCCCATCCTTCGACAATGTACCCCTCTAACCTCTAAGCCGCGAGTATTTGGCCCAACTCCTGCTAGACATAGACTTAAGTGAATTTTGTTACAAACAATGACCAATGAATTATCGGCTCAGTAAAGCTAACGCAATTGAGCCTTCCGAGCTAGATAAAACAAATCATACCCACATTTTTAAATGTTTGCTAAGTTGAACTATGTACTACAATGTCCAGGTTTTTGTTGAGCTAATAATAAATTACCAATTGCAAAATTACACAGTTGATTGAAACATACCCTGGTTTCGAACGTAGCTTCCGTTGCATATCCGCATGCTGCTGGCTGTGCCGCAAGAATTTTCTGAAAGAGAAACAATAATTTTTATTAGGCAAGCTTAGGAACCAAACAAATAATGAAATTAATTTAACTAAAGAAAAATCTAAAAATAGAACAACCAACAAAACACCTGATCTGATCCCGCACCATCCGCAGCTGCTTTGGCAGCAGCAGCAGGAGCTTGAGTTACTTTGACGCCGGCTTCGGTTCCGACGCGGAATAATGTTTTCACCCACGTGGAAAGTCCCATTTTCCAAACAAAGACGTCCGTAACAACGTCTCTATCGAAAAATTAATATTGACCCAGTAATTTGTTTGACCTTCGATGTGGGTTTTCGATCGGAAAGATGATAAGCAACGCAACAACCGTCTGTCGATCGATCAGGGGACGGTAGCCCCACCAAAATCGCCGTTTTTAGTGTTATATTTTGTTATGCAATCACCCTACGCGCTCTCCTCTACGTCCTACGATGACTTTATATTGGAAGGAAAAATCATATCACACGCAATCGTTCCGGAGAGAGGTCATTGGAAACGTCACCGGAAAATATACAGATGCAAGAAATGGGCGATCAGCATAAGCGACCTTCTCCAGGGAACTCTGGGCAGAAACTTACCAGATTTCCAAACAGGGCTCGCAGGCTATTGGGTTTGGCTACGTTTGAAAGCATTTTAGATGGAATTTCTGGCAGTAAAATGCAACAAATAAACAGAGCACTTTTCAAGATCGAACGACTTTGCACTGAAACTCCACTCTCGTCCTCCCACTGACTGATGGTTGTTTGGCGAAATAGTGGGTGGAGGCGAAACGTCAAAATTGGTTGGAGATTCTCTCTTTCTCGCGAGTTGGCTTTCGTGTTTCGTTTTTCGAACACGCTGGGGCGCTGACTGGTGATGAGCACTGGAACTAAAACGCACGTGATTCGGTTACATATTTGCCGTTTGCATGCATAACGAGAGGCATTGATTGCTGGATTATAGGCATTATGCTTGAGACTACAGAGTTATAGTTATAATAATTAATGACGAGAAAAATGTAATTAAACCGCTAGCTAGACTGCGCAGTTATAACATGCTATAAGCCTATCTTGATAATATTTTTCGACGGACGACGCCCGACCACCCATTCGGGAAACTTCTTCAAAGTCCTTTATATAAAAATAAAGATTTAAGACGGAAATTCTTTACTTTTAAGTTTCTTTGATTTCGATGAATATATTTAAAAATATTTATTGGTCGATACTTACATTTAAGATAATTTCGTAATCGGTCGCATGATAGTAATAGATTACTAATGGTGCCAAACTAAATTTCCCTGAATTTCGATGTGTCACAAGGACTTTAGTTTTCTTTATAAATATTAATCTAAAATTATTTGAATACTGATTCCGTCGTTACGCTGAACTTTGGCAGAGAACAATAAAGATTGCCAACGATGCACATTTAAAATCTCCTTGTTATCGATTTGCATCGCTGGGTAAAGGAAGTTCCCAGCAAACATTGAATGCTGAATAGGCGCTAATTAAGGCAAAAATTGACTTCTTCAGCTAAAAAGTTGCTTATTCAGCTTGTAATCAGGTCAAATTGTTTGTTGGGTTTGATACACACCAGATGGTAATGTCTATATTATCTATCGACAAATAAGGTACTTCATCGGTAGAAGCATGATCTGCTGGAAAAAAAATACGCTACGAAGCAAATGTTTGCCATTGTAGATCTTCAAGTTTGCATCCATATGCTCTCTACCCTTTCTTAAGAACGCGTGATAGTAAGCGTTGTAAAATGCTCGGAATTTTGAACCGAATGATGACACTTGCTACATTTAAAAAAGTTATATATCGAGTGGCTTTGCTACTTGTGCTATTTCAAGTCGTAGTTTTTATTCGTTATTTTTCGTGTCTTATCTAGTCAAAAATATTTATTTCTTGACCAAGTTTTTCGTTTTAATCATCCGGACATTATTGCTAAAAAATTGTGCTCGTAAAGTAGTTATTCGAAGTACAATTTAACTGTTTTTTGTCCGCGCTGTGCTGTGCTATAGAGTTGTTTTTGTTCATTCTTCACCTACGTGCTATTGTTGAAACAGCACTCAATCATCCTGAGCTTGTTTGTCATCACCGTCCTACCGCCAACTTTTGTTCCTGCAAGAAGTCTAATAAAAGGCGTTTGACCGTTCAACTGCCAGCATGGAGACAAATTGTGCCAAGTGCTCGTTGGAAATTACTGGCATTGAGTATGTGACCTGCCGAGGATACTGTGGCAGTGTGTTTCACATGACGTGTACCGGAGTGTCTCGTGCCCTGTCTGGTTACTTCACATCCCATCGGAAAAACCTCTTTTGGATGTGCGATAAATGTGCGGAACTTTTTGAGAATTCGCACCTCCGATCCATCACCAATTTGGCAGTTGAAAAATCACCGCTGCTTTCTCTCACGGAAGCTATCACGAATTTGCAGACGGAAATTAAACAGTTGTCATCAAAGCCTGTCCCGTCAATTCTGCCACCTGCTGTCAACCGATGGCCAACACTTGAAGCAACTCGACCATCAAAACGATTTCGTGGATCCGACTCTGTGGTGCCTAAAACATCTGAGTGTCAGTCTGGTTCAAAACTGTTGGGTCAGAACGTCATCTCTGTACCTACATGTGAAAAACCGGCGGCAAAATTCTGGCTCTACTTGTCCCGTATCCAACGTGATGTGAGCAACGAAGCAATCTCTGAAATGGTGAAAGCCAACCTGGAACTCGAAAATGAACCTGATGTTGTGAAATTGGTCGCCAAAGGAACCGACACCAGTAACATGACCTTTATTTCATTCAAAGTCGGTCTAGACCCAGCTTTGAAGAAGAGAGCTTTGGATCCGTCATCTTGGCCCGAAGGAGTTCTATTCCGTGAATTCGAAGATCACTCGGCTCATAAATTTCGGAGACCATCTGGTGTGAATCTAACACCCACGCCAGTGACACCGCAGACGACGTTTGCAGCAAATCAACCGATGGATGGACCACGGGACGCGCAAAAATAAGCATTTTGGAAGCCTCTTATCCACTCAGCACAGTCGCGCCGATAAATGGTGAATGCAGTCGAAGTCGTCCCGGCCCTGTGTCTGATGTGCGAGAAGAGGTCTTCCAGCTTGCTTGTCTAGGCAAGTATCAACATAATTTTCATAATTTCCTGCCTGATGATGATTCCCTCCTCAGATCACCAACTTGTTCTGCCGGGAGTACCTCCAGCCAACATGGACAACGCCTTGAACGTCCCCTACCTATGTCGGACGCGCCGAAAATTCCTACACGCCGGCATCTCGTGACAACAGTTGTGGAATTGCTGGTGACAACGATGTTTGGCTTTACTTCCAAAACGTACGTGGTCTAAGAACCAAAATTGACGACCTGGTTGTAGCGGTATGTGATTGCAATTACGATGTCATCATATTGATAGAAACGGGCCTTGACGACAGCATCAACTCACTGCAACTTTTTGGTACTGACTTTAATGTATTTCGCTGCGATCGCAGTGCTCGTAATAGCCAGAAAGCGAAGTTTGGAGGAGTGCTTATTGCCGTGGCCAGCGTTTACAAGTCTGTTGAGATAAAGACTATTAATGGTAGTAACCTGGAACAAGTAAGTGTGTCTGCCTGTATTCGCGGAAAGCGGTTCGTGCTTTGCGCTGTATATATTCCTCCAGATCGTAGTCGGGACGTAGGTGTTATCGATGCCCATTTAGCTACTCTTCGTGAATTACGTGATGCAACTCCAGATGGTGACCTTTTGCTTGCTTGTGGTGACTACAATCAACCACACATAGCATGGGATTGTCTTGATGATGGAATCTTAAACCTTGATCCTTCCACGACGTCTGCTGCCAGTGCTGCTCTGATGGATGGAACGAGCTTCCTGAATATCCGGCAATACAACTCTGTTCGCAATCACCTGGGGCGCATCCTAGATTTGGTTTTCTGTGATTCCAATTGCAACATTGTAGTTAACGGAGCGGTGTCCCCATTGCTGGCTATTGATTTGCATCATCCACCGATTTTATTCTCCTTACCAACTCAATCCGATTGTGTTGACCGTGTGGAATCCCTTGATGCTGGTGAACATACGCTAGACTACTCAAAAATCGACTTCGTCATGCTCAACGAGTTCCTGATGAGCTGTGATTGGAGCAGTATTCTGGCAAAAAATGACGTCAACGATATGGCAGCACAATTTTGCAACATAATTTGCAATTGGCTCACCGATAACACTCCAAGACGAAAACCTCCTATATCTCCTGCTTGGAGTTCTCCTCTCCTGCGACTTTTGAAACGCGATGAAAATTCCTGGCAGCGTAAACTTCGCCGACATCGAACTTCTGAAACGAAACGCAACTTTCATCGCGCTTGCAACGCCTATCGTAAGCTTAATTCAACCCTATACAAGTCATATGTCTTGCGTGTCCAGACCAATTTACGTAGAAATCCCAAGAGCTTCTGGAAGTTTGTGAACTCCAAGCGAAAATCGTCGAATATTCCTTCATCCGTATTTTTTGGCGATTTGGAGTCTACTTCTATGCTCGAATCGTGTGATCTATTTTCCCGCCACTTCAGTTCTGTTTTTTCGGATTCAGCCGCCAACGCAGATGAAGTAGAAAGAGCGGCTTGCAATGTTCCTGAGGGTCTCATCGATTTGCGTACATTTGTGGTTAGCAATATGTATGTCGTTAAAGCTGTTAGGAAGTTGAAGAAATCTGTTTCACCGGGTCCTGATGGTGTACCTGCAATCATTTTTTGCCGCTGTGTTGCTGTTTTAGCTGATCCCCTAGCTCGCATCTTTACCGCTTCGTTGCACCAAGGAGTTTTCCCCGAAATATGGAGACATTCCTTTATGTTCCCTGTCCATAAGAAGGGCGACAAACGTGACGTGACAAATTATCGTGGCATAACAAGTCTATCTGCAGCTTCAAAAATATTCGAGATCATTGTGAACGATGCTATCTTCTTTCATGTCAAGAGCTACATTTCAGCAACGCAACACGGATTTATGCCAGGACGCTCAGTTACATCAAATTTGCTGGAGTTCACCTCAACATGTATAAATCACTTGGAAAATAGGGCTCAAGTTGATACCGTTTATACCGATCTGAAAGCGGTATTCGATTGCATCGATCATGGTATTCTTCTTCGGAAAATGTCTCGCCTGGGAATTTCGGATGGATAGTTGATTGGCTGAAATCATATCTTTCCAACAGAACACTTCGTGTCAAGCTGGGTTCATGCACTTCATCACCATTTGCTGCAACCTCCGGTGTTCCACAGGGCAGCAATTTAGGACCATTGCTGTTCACAATCTTCTTCAACGATGTGACGCTCCTCTTGCCGAGTGGTTGTGTGCTCATATACGCCGATGATCTCAAACTATACATTGTTGTCAAGAACGTCGAGGATTGCCGTCAGCTCCAAGCAATGTTAGACCAATTTGTTGATTGGTGCCGCTTAAACAAGCTTTCCGTCAGTATATCAAAATGTGTGGTCATGACATTTAATCGCACAAGAACGCCAATCGTATTCGATTACTCAATTGATGGATTTGTACTAGAAAGAGTAGAACAAGTAAGCGACCTAGGTGTAATGCTGGACCCTAAACTTACGTTTGACTTACACCGTTCAATGGTAATCACTAAGGCTAATCGTCAGCTTGGTTTTAT